GGCGTGCAGGTCCCGCAGCATCATCTGGAGGAGGCCGGCTAGCTCCACCTGCAGGAAGGCTCTGGCTACTCGAGGCTGGGGCCAGATGCCCGACTTCTCTGCCCAGACTCTGGGCTCTTGCCCAACCCAGCCTCCACCGGCCCCCTCCACACTCACTTTCTTGGCCTGGATGATGTTGTTTGGTGCAAGGAGCCCCTGGCCACATGGCTGGTCAGGCTCGGGGTGGGTGGCAGGGTTTTCAAGCCTTGTCTCCTCCTGAGAAGTTGGCGGGAGCTGGGTGGCGCTACATTGATAGAACCTGGGGACAAAGCCAGAGCTCTTGAGTTGTCCTGCCATGAGCGTAGAGGCTTAGAATCCAAGTCCCTGGTGCCCCTCACTCACCCAGGCCCAGAAGTACCAGCAGCCTTCTCTCCAGTCTCCCCACAAGCTGGCCTCATTGCAGCCCAGACCTCATCTAAAGGAATCAGCCCATCCAGCAGGCCCAGGGGTGGCTCTGGGTTGAGATGGGAAGCAAGAGTGTCACTTATAGAGGGGTCCAGTCTGGCCAGCTCCTGGACCAAATCCTCGAAGTGCTGACTGGGCCACGCTGGCCTGAAACCAGGCTGGCTAGTGTCCCAGGCCAGGGTAGCATGGTGAGGGGACACTGGGGTATCATTGCCTGAAAGTCTCAGGGAATCAGCTGAGAGAGGTCTGAGGAGGTCACTCTCTACAGCTTCGGGAGCACTGATGGTCAGCAGTCCAGTGGGGTTGATAGTTAAGATGTCACCATTTGAAGTCCCAGGGGAGCTACAGTTTGTGGGCCTGGAAACACCCACAGAACCATTCGCCCCCTGCCAGCCGTTATCTGGTCCTGCAGTCCTTGGGTTTTCGTGTATGGGATACTCTAGGGGGATTGTAGAGTGGCCAGCCCTTTGGCCCAAGCCGGTTCTATAGTGGTGGTCAGAGGCATAGACACTGGAAGCAGAAGAGATGCCGAATCAGAAAAAGCTCAAGCTACAAACAAGTGGTGGCCTCCAAGGGCCACCTCCCCACCTCCTGCCCCTACCCCACCACCCAGGCTAGAACTAGAGAGGGTTCCTTGCCCCACCAGTATGCTGTCGATGTGGGGGGGGAGGTGGTGTGCCACACATTATTTGGAAGCAAGAGGGAACTCACCTGGTTGGGAGCTCCTGCGGGGCATGGGAGTCTGGCAGTGATCTTATTCTGACCAGTGGAATTTCTTCCAGGAACACTTCATCAGGAAGGGAAGGGAGCTGGGCCGACACAATGCAGGTCTCTGAGATTTTCTGCTCACAGTCAACAGGGCTGCTCTGGGGGACCTCTGCAGAACACATCACTGCAGCCTCCTTCTGAGTCAAGAACCTGGAGGCAGGGGCCCTACAATGACAAGAAGACTGTGGTATGGCACCTGGGAGAAGGTAGTGTGTCCAGTTTGTGACAGACAGAGTCAGCAGGCTCAGGCTGAAGGTCGGTGAAGGGTCCTCTACCTACTTGGGTGAGAGCTATGAGAAAGCTGCCTTCTCCCCAGCTTGGTCCATGAGTGGCCCATGTCTCTCACCTGGAAGGTTTGGTCTGAAACACTGGCCTGGGGGTTTCTTCTCCTTGGGGAAAAGCCTGGAAAGATGAACAGCTGACCGAAACGTGGCTCACGTTTTCAGTTTCCCAGATGCTCCCTGTGACACACCCCATCAGCCCACATCTCCACATCGTCATACCTGGACAATGGGCACGGTCCCTCCTGAGTCTCCCCAGGGACCCAAGTCTTCGCCTGAAGCGCCGAGACTGGGACCCGCGGGCCCGTAGGCATCGCCCAGCTTCAAGGGCCAGAAGTCCAGGTCCGCTGTGCCTCGGGGCGGGGGCGGGGGCTGGTGACCTTCGAACTCAGCCAGCGCCAGATGCTGAGGCCC